CTTCGTCATCATGTCGTCCAACACCTGGTCTAGCGTGATGTATACTGTAGCAGACACCGACTACCTCATCAGCGCCATTTTCTTTATTGTTGGAATCATCATCATGAGTTTGTGGCTGATTTCACTGCTAATTGCTGTCATTACTTCTTCTTTCCAAATCATCCGTGAAGAAAGCAAAGCCAGTGCCTTTACTGGAGAAGAGATCAAAGAAGAGCCGACCGACAACAGCAACGAGAAACAACGTATTAGCTCTCTCAAACGTTTTTACGACAAAACTCGATTCTTTTGGGTGGCTGTCATAGCATTTGGACTGGTTGCCCAGATGATGCGGAGTGCCAATATGAGCAACTTTCGTAGATCGTTCATCGACACGGTAGAACTGATTGTTACCCTTATCCTGGTTCTCGAGATCCTCATCCGGCTCATTGTCGACTGGAGGAATTTCTTCCGGAGCAAGCGAAACGTCGTAGATCTTTTTATTGCCATCACTACAGCAATCATTCAATTACCCGCTATCAAATCCGCGCATAACGGAAAGGCTTATGCTTGGCTAACAGTCTTCCAAATCATCCGCGTCTACCGCGTTGTCTTAGCTATACCCGTGACGCGGGATCTCATTGTGAGTTTTTCATCACTCGTATTGGGGTAGAGCCTAGTTAACGATATTTCCAGATGATTGTGTTTAAAAATGCCAGCGGTCTGCTGAATCTAATTCTCTTCGTGTTTCTTCTAACCTTCCTGGCATCCATCTTTGCTTCGCAGCTGTTCCGGGGCGAAATTCCAGAAGAAGATGATAGCGGAGAACCGATCCGAATAGCCTTCTTTGATATCTACAACTCCTTTCTGGGAATGTATCAGATCTTTTCCAGTGAAAACTGGACCACGATCTTGTTCAATGTCACGAGTTACCAAAAACCCTTTGGCATAGCATGGATAGGGGCATCGTTTTGTATCTTGTGGTTCATTTTTGCCAACTGTAAGTCTAAAGCTCTTGATATGTGTAAATACCACACCCTAACATTCTAAAGTCATTGTTCTGAACATGTTTATTGCTATCATCCAAGAAAATTTTGATGTCTCTGAAGATGAAAAACGTTTGCAGCAAGTCAAGGCATTCCTCCAGCAGAAGGAGGACGGTCTGACTTCTTCTACTGGGTATGTTTAAACTATCTATCAGAGCTAGATTGCCTGCTGACCACTTGTAGTAACCTGTCCCTTTCATCCATTTTCAAGCTTGGCCAAGCGCGCCGTCGAGACCCTCTAGATTACGGCCATGCTGCTACTGAAATGCTTCTAAAAGATGCGGTCGTTCGCGACTTCCTCGATGAAGGTAACGGGCACACAAGCACACCAGAGGCAGAACCTCCTCGACCAGGCCTTCGCTCCGCGAAAACTATAGTGGGATCTGGCACCATGTCCACCATCTGGCAACGTTTTCTGCGGCGCGTTGCCAATCGCGAGCCGAATCCCTTCTATGCTCCCTTGGACTTTGGTCGTGCATACGAGGACCTCGATCCAAGTAGCATGGCGAAAGAAGTAGTTTCAGCCACGGAGAAACGTAAAAGGGCTCAGCGCGAGTATCTGCGGAACCACCCCAACTACAACGTATCTCTGTTTATTTTTCGTGTCAACAATCCGATACGGAAGTTCTGCCAACGCGTTGTTGGCCCCGGCCGAGGCGGCGACCGCATTGAAGGAGTTGCTCCATCTGTCCCCATCTGGTATGCATTTTCGGCATTCATCTATGCAGCAATCATTGCAATGGTGCTCTTGGCCTGCATCACAACGCCGCTGTATCAGCGGGAATATTTTATGCGTCACGAGTTCAGTGTCAAGAACTGGTTTGTATGGGTAGACATGGGTTTCGCCATTCTCTTCAGCGCCGAGGCTCTGATCAAAGTCATCGCTGACGGTTTCTTCTGGACACCAAACGCCTACTTCCGCGGCTCCTGGGGATTTATCGACGGTGTTGTGCTCATCACTCTATGGATCAATGTTGGCACATCGTTTTTGAACGAGGGTCAAGTCACTCGAACCGTCGGCGCCTTCAAAGCTCTCAGGGCTCTTCGTTTGCTCAACATCAGCGACAGCGCGCGGAATCACTTCCACTCACTTATTATTCGTAGCTGGTGGAAGCTCCTTTCGGTGAGTAGGATCGCACATACGCATCGACATTACTAATGAATGACCCAGGCTGCCTTTGTCTCCATGAGTTTGTTGATTCCATTTGCCATATACGGTCTGAATTTATTCGTCGGCCAGATGCAGTCCTGCAATGACGGTGATTTCCCAGCAGGGGCCAACCTCAAGGACTGTGTTGGAGAATACGACAGCTCGCCGTTCGAATGGACTGTTTTGGCCCCTCGCCAAGCCTCGAATCCCTTTTACGACTTTGACAATTTTGGAGACTCCCTCTTCATCCTGTTCCAGATTGTATCCCAAGAAGGCTGGACAGACTGTATGTGGACTGCAATGAGTATTACTGGATTTTTTACGCAACCGGAACCCAGAGCGGCCTCAGCCAACTCGATCTACTTCATCATCTTCAACTTGCTCGGCGCCGTCTTCGTCTTGACTCTATTTGTGTCCGTCTTCATGCGCAACTACACGGAACAAACGGGAGTTGCCTTCTTGACGACCGACCAGCGATCTTGGCTCGAATTACGGAAGCTTCTCCGTCAAGTTTCCCCATCGAAGCGTCCATCGTCGACCAAGCAACGAGAAAGCTGGGAAGAATGGTGTTACCGTCGAGCTATCACCAAGACTGGATACTGGCAGAGGTTCGTCACCGGTGTTTTGATATTACATCTCATGTTGCTCTGCCTGGAATGGTATCCAGGTTATGGTCCTTGGGAAACTGCCCGAGACTACATTTTTCTTGTCCTTACAATCGCCTTCATTGCAAACGTAGTCATTCGGATCATTGGTCTTTCCTGGCACCGCTTCCGGAAGAGCGCATGGGACATGTTCTCGATCTTTTCTGTCACGGGAACCTTTGTGACATCGATTCTTGTACTAGCAAGAAAAGACATTCGGGTCTTCGTCCAGCTCCACAAGCTCTGTCTTGTATCGATTGCCCTTTTACTCATTCCACGGAACAATTCGCTGGACCAGCTTTTCAAGACGGCGGCGGCAAGTCTTGCATCAATTGGCAACCTGCTTGCTACGTGGTTTGTATTGTTCCTCGTATACGCTATTGCTCTCACGCAAACGTTCGGTCTCACTCGATTTGGGGAAAACGAAACTGGAAACATCAACTTCCGCACTGTACCCAAGGCGCTCATTTTCCTGTTTGTCACGAGTGGAGGCGAGGGCTGGAACGAGTTCATGGAAGACTTTGCAGGTGTTGACAAGCCTTACTGCACGGTAGGAGACCGATACTTCAATAGCGACTGTGGCAGTCCCGAGTGGGCACGAGCATTGTTCATTAGCTGGAACATTTTGAGCATGTACATCTTCGTCAACCTGTTCGTTTCGTTGATCTACGAGAGTTTCTCGTACGTCTACCAGCGGAGTAGTGGACTGTCCGTCATCAGCCGGGAAGAGATTCGTCGCTTCAAGCAGGCGTGGGCAGAGTTTGATCCTAACGGGACAGGCTACATTTCAAAGGACGTGTTTCCAAGGCTGCTTGGAGAACTCTCTGGCATTTTTGAGATGCGTATCTATGATGGTGATTTCACCATTGGTGCGCTCATTGAGGAGTGCAGTGTGACGAATCGACGGGAGTCGAATCTGCCAGTCGCAGGCCGCGAACCGACCAAAGAAATTGACATTGACAAGCTGAACCGTCGGTTGGCACAGCTACCTGTGGCAGAAATTCAGCGCAGACGAAAACGCATGAACACATTCTACGAGGAGGTGCATGTCTCAAGCGACCCGGATCGAGGCATCCAGTTCTCTTCATTGCTCATGATCTTGGCACATTACAAGGTCATCAATGACAACAAGAGCTTGAGGTATGTGTTGAAAGCACTGTGCAAGAAAATGACTAACAATTGGTAGACTGGAAGAATTCTTGAGACGTAGGGCTCGCCTGCAGCGAGTGGAAGAAGCAGTCCGCCGCAATGTGGTTGTTGGCTTCTTCGACACGCTGTATTGGGCGCGACGATTCCGCCGCGCCATGGAACTGAAGAAGCAGGGACGCATGGCAACGGTTCCACAGTTTACGGTTCCGGAGATTTTTATTGACGACGAAGACATTACCAATGCCAAGCGAGGTCCTGCAGTAGAGAGTCCTCTCTTCTCACCTCAAGACCTGTATGCTCCATCGCCAAGGAACTCTGCTGGGCCTTCGCTCCCGCATTTGCAAACCGACCAAAATCGAAGTGGAAACAGTTCGGCTCAGCAGTCACCGACTGGGTCACCTACACGAAGAAGCGCACAGCCAGCATCGCCCATGTCGCCATCTGGAGCGGATCCAGAGTGGCAGTTTGCGTCTGCGCTTAGCCGGCCACCGAGTCCGCTAGAGGCAGAGCGTGGGCAGGGCGACAGTCGCAGCCGAGCGAATAGTGCAGTTAGCGCAGCCGATGTTTTGGAGGTGCTAGACAACTCAGTATGGGGAGAAAGTATCAGGAGAAGTTTTACAACCAAGAGGCGCAGCTAGGCTAGGCTAATAGCGGCTGAGTAAGGTGTTTTGCAGGGGGGGATACGAGCCGGTCTAGCAAGCTGAAGGGCAGTTTGTTGACCGTGACGATCAAAAGGGAACTCGGCGTTAGTACTGGAAATGGGGATTTGACAGGCGGGAGGGGGGGCAAGTCTTGGGGGTTCGTTGTTGCAGACACTCGGGACAGTAATGGTGCAACACGTGTTGCATCAAGCTCGAGAGAAGGAACCAAACACGCACGCGAGCGGTCTCAAGCCGACACAGGCACATAGGCATGGAAATAGTAGCAAACCTGATCTGCACGGGGAGGAGGTACTAGAAGGTACGGCATGGGAACGGGTCGTAATCGAGGCCATCTTGGCGCCAGTGTACTTAATGGTTGCGGTGGGGTAGATGCTGTGGTGGTATGTTGTGGCGTGTTGTGGCGCGGACTTTTTGACATTGCATAGCGTTGGCGTTGAAGTAAGTCACGACTACTTACACTGTAGAGTTGGTAGACTACCTATCTGAATGGACTGTTATCTTTTCCCTACATATGCATGTATGCTTTGACTGTGATGGGCGTGGTGGGTGGCAAACTCTATGTATGTAGTGTATGTACGCAGAAGCGAGGGGGGTGGGTATGCTGGGCTGATGGGCTTGTATCTTAAGGTTTGAGCCGGTATGTCATGGACTCGCTTGCGGCTGACTGTGCGGTCAAACGCGAGGGAGCAGCACAGCGGCATTAATACGAGCATGTAGTCGGTTGGGGGGGGGTCCATGATTGCGGTGGCGATGATGATGATGATGATGATGGTGATGACGACGGGCGTCTTGGTGATGGACTGACAAGTAGCAGTCATGACGACTAGCCCTACTCTCTTTCCCTCTTGGGTCTGTACACTTATTGCAAAGGGGCCAGCGGTGGTCCACAGCTTATCTCGCAGCGTGACCTTGGCACATTGGTGGATGAGGACGAGAGCAGCGGATACGAATACCATTAGAAACGCTAGTCTAGGCGAGCTGGTTGGCATCCCGTACCTGAAACTCGCGCGTTGCGCATGACCCAGCGACGCATTTGCGTGCATGTGCAGTGCCTCGTTTTCCATCAGACAATAGACACGGACAAGCCGTCGATGCGTCGCCTGCATTACAACGGCATCTCGATTCGTCTTGTGGCCGGGGGCATCTGAAACACTGGGTCGGCCGTCAGACAGCTCGGCATCCCTCCGTCGCCCCCCGAGGATCATACTGCTTGCGGCCACCGGCTGTCTGTCGCAGATTGTTGTTGCGTCACACAGCTACGGAGACGGCGCGGGCTTCATGTGCTGTGTGGGCGGCCAGCGAGCGAGGGCTGGTTGGTTGCAACGCGAGAAACAAGACGATGGGGTGCATTGTGTCTGAAGCCAGCTAGATTGGTATAGATGCTCCGGTGAGAACACTCATCTGTCTCTTGCACCCAATCGGTCGCTTGCACCCTTACGTACTGGTACTACGCTTTTCTACTGTGATGACGGTACGGGACGCCATCGGCGGAGACGCCTGCACGGTAAAAAATGCCCATCATGTAAGGTAAGTGTGTGTGAGTGTGTGTGCAAGTATGTGCATGAGGGGGACGGATGTTCCAGTCGCATACAAAGGGCAAAGATAAGGAAGAAAGAAAGGGACTCGTCGCAACATCAAGGCCCCATAGTACGTAACCAGAACAAAATCGACGCTCAATGCGCTATATCCCTTCGGCCGAAAGCAAGCAAGCAAGACGTTGAGGATACGTCCATCACCCACAATCCGGTGGTTGAGCATAGAGAGAGGGAGATATGGATCATCCTTACTCGATCCAATGCTATGCAATCTCCCCTATCAATTGCAGGGCCTCTGGCTGGAAATGAGCAGAGCAATTTGTCCGCGGCGCCCAGCAAGGGCCCAACAAAGCCCACTGTAGACGACTCTGGTGGTAGGAAACCAACGCCCATCGACTTCCCGCTCGCTAGTTCGCTTGGGCCGGCGATCAAACAATGGGTCAGAACCCCCGCCCCTGCCCACTTGAAGCGTCGTTCCATGGTTTGAGAAGTTCCCTGGCACACGCAACACGCACACGCACTGGCGTCCTCTTAACCCACAAGATGCGACACGACAGCTTTGGAGGGGGAGGGGGTAGGAGGAAAAAAGGGGATCCGCATCTGTTTCTCTGCTGCGTCTCAAAAGGCTGCTGTCATCTCGTTCTTTTCCCGAAAAACTGCTGAATCATTTCCCCCTCTTTCTTCTACGATTCATTCGTTGCTTTTTGTTTTTTTTCTTCCATTGTGTCGTGGCTGGTATTACTACACACAACAAACACCCATCCGTCTTACTTTAACGGCAAAACGCACGTCAACGCAACGACCCAACGCTTATTTCACTTACGCCACGCTACATTAACGCGCAGACGATTCAAATCTCAACAAGGTTTTCCCGCATCGTTCTCTTGTGCTTTATCTCGGTCCATTTTTGGTGGGAAGAGCCAAATCTACACGAAACTCGCACGCCTTACCCTTTTATCCAACTTTGTTCCACCCACACAAGCTCAGACCCGTCTGTCATCCCTACCCGCCGGGAACATATCTTTGCTTGTCAACGTCATTTACCGTTGCTTGACTCGCTAAAAGAAGACTGAGAGAGAGCTGACGGGACCCGTATCCTTGGTTACCTTCGCCGCCAACCTTGTCTAAGACTATCCTTATACCTTGCTTTGCCCTCTTCCACATCGCTTCCTTTGCTTCTTCTCTTCTCCAACTATCACCCTCTGGAAAGGAACAGTCGGACTCTCTTCTTCTTCTTCTTGATCGACATTCATCAAACCACCTCTACATTCACTGAGAAGAACCTCTCAAAACAACTTCACTCAACCAACAACAACAAAGCCAAAATGCCTTCCTCACCATCCCGCACCAACCGCTTCCAATCCTTCACCCCCCTCCGCAGCACCACCGGCTCCCTCCGCCGCCTCAAGACAGCCTTCAGCCCCACCCGCGGCGTCTCCATGCGCTCCGCCTCCCCCTCCTCCATCCTCACCTCTTCCTCCATGACCTCCCCGCTCACGCGCAACTCGTCGCCGCACAGCCAGCGCTCCTCATCGGGCTCGTCGCTGCGCGAGTTGCTTGCTGTGCGCCGCAAGCCCAGCGTCCTCGAGTTCGAGCTCGAGGAGGAGAAGCATCTGTTTGAGCAGGGGCTGGATGTCCTAGAGCCCAGGCCGAGTGCGGGCAGGGGGTCGAGTGAGGTGCTTGTTGTAGGCATCTTTGAGGTGTTGGATGGAAAGCGATAAAGCGGCCTCGCTCTTCATCTGGCGTGTTTTTTTTTTGCTTTTTGGGATCGGAACCTTTTATGATGGATGAAGGTGGTGTGATGGAGATTTGGCGTTTTTTTCTTCCTTTTTTTTCCTTTTGAAACTTCTTCTTCGATGGAAAAGTACGCTGGGTCTTGCTTTTGCCATGGGCGGGTTGTGATCTCCCCTCACCTCCCCTTTTTTCTCCTTATCCTTCTTGCCTAGTAATGCAGGGCGAGGATGGGTTGTTTCCTTTTTGTTCCTTTTTTACACTTCTTTGCTTGCTATGCAGGCACCCCCATACAGCTTCTTTTAACTACGGTCGGCGGAGGGGAGGGGTAACAAGAACGCCTTTTACCCTTCCTTCCCCGATACTCCCATCAAGCTGGTTTTCTTGGTTTTTTAACACCCTTTTTTTTGCGACTCTGGGAGGGAGGGGGACTCGGTGGATGTTTCCCCTTCTTCATCGCACTTTGTCCTCCCAACGAAGGGACATCCAGGGGCACTTGTTTTTTTGTTCCTTAGACGGGTGAGATGAAGAATATCACCATTCACCTTGGTGTGCTTTTCATGAAATACGAATAGAGAATTCAACTTTTTTTTTGAACAAATGAGCTCGAACTGTTTGTACTGTGATGATTAGGTTTTGTGTTTGAAGTGAATACGTTCTGCCAAAAAATCTTTTGTAAAAGAGTCTAAGTGAATCGATTAACAGGCATGGTCTGCATACAATACTTTAGTGGTGTCTAGTAGCCAAAGGAGGCTCAGTCTGCTTTGGCTTGCTCCAGGTCACGTGTCAAGGTATATTACATAATATCTAGATCATTGATAGAAGTCCGAAGAATCTGCAAAGTTTGAACCTAAGTATTGTTTTCATTCCCAAATGCAAATATTCTTATGCCATGTTTTTGAAAAGAGCAGCCTACATATTGCTAATGTTGCACTGACTTGGGGACGTTCTAAAAGTAGCAACACCCACATTAACGATACTACGAATTAGTGTAGAGTCTCTGTTACATTTTATTGTATCATGTTATGGTGTGTAAACGTTGTGGTAAAGGTAGATTCAGAAGGTTCCAGGCGGTAGGAAATCCACCAGTCTCGACAGTAACTCGAAAACATGACTTAGGATTTGTTGAATCAAATCTGTAAAGACTAAGTATCCTGTCAAGCTACTTTCACAGCAAGTCTTGTATGCACCAAAATCGTCATTTTTCGCCTGGAGACATGCGGGACCGGCGTAGTATCGCAGCCACGACTACATAGAAAGAAATGAACAGTTAGAAACATCTTCATTTCTCTTTCCATCTGCTCTGCAATTCGAAAACCTTACCAAACCCAAGCAATAAACCTTATCCCCCCTCCCCCCTTTCTTTCATGCAGAACACATCAGGCAAAGAAAAAAAAACAGGTCATCAGGTCACGCCACCGTAATATACACACTTTACCCCCTACGGTCCGATGCACTGCTGACTTTGCCTTACAAGCGCCGGCTAAAATCAACCTGTTGAGCTGCGAATAGACCATATTTTTGCTCACGTGGTGAGATGTGGTGCAGAAATAAGTGGAGAGGTTTTATGTGCAGAGAGGGATGCGTTGGTCATGTAGAGGGTAGGAGGCTGATGAGTACTAGGGGCGTGGAGGATGAAATTTGGTACTTGCTATGCGAGTGACTACGTAAGCTATGTAACTATTATGAAGGCAATTGAGAGGCAGGAGACCTATAGTGTTAGAGCGTGATGGTGATTGAGTGGGAAGATGTAATATCACGACATATATTATATGCCTCTGGGCATTTGGGAAGTGTCTGGATACCTGTCCAGATATCTCTCTTATGATAAACACAAAGAACCGAACCACGTAACTACAACCTTATACTACGTAAAAATACTATCAGAATAAAGTTAAAACGTGCTAGAATCTGACACTGCTTTTATTTTTCCTAGACGACGATCATCTGACGTGAAAATAGAGGGAGTAAAGGTAGCCCTTTTCGTCTATGCGTAGGTGAATAGGGTTATCGGAAAATCTATATCTCTGTAGACTTTTAAGAATAGTTAGTATTACCCTTTTGTTACTCTATAATGTCTTGTTGAAGGGAAAATATAACTAATAAGTAGTCTTTTGCACCTATCTCTAGTGTACCGTCGTCTTAAGTATTTTGTAATACGTGTTAGCAGTATTATCCTCTTAGTAACTTTGCTCTAAATCGCGTTGGCGCACCGTACCAGCCATGTACGACATGCAAAAGTTTAGTACGCTTACTACCCCCCAAACAATAAAACTTGGCCCATAGGTATGGCATCTTTCCCTAAGTAACAAGATCTACACTGCATAAAAATAGACAAACTATACGTTCCATATTAACTCGCGGCGATCATATTACAAGAAAAAGCAGAATACAATGTGGTATCAAATCATTTGTTTCAACACTCTCATGATAACTAGCAGTTTTGTCCTAATATCCACATCATGCAGCATCGATAAAACGCCCTCCCAATGCAACCCATCCACTTGAATTGATATACAAAACGGGGAAAAAAATAAAAAAATAAAAACGCGCATTAGAGCCATCTAATGTACACCATTGACGGGAACTTGCAAGTTGTCCAGCTCCTCCTTTCGTCTCCTGTACACCTCCTGTGCTTCTCTCTCCCTCTTCGTGACAAACTGTACTTCCTCGCGTAGACGCTCCAACCTGCGTTCCACAGCAGTCTGTTCGTTGTATTCCGCCGTGCGTGCTGTATTGAGATCATCTCTCGCCTTCTCGAGCGCTGCAAAAGCGCCTCCAATCTTCTCTCGTAGGAGAGCTGACCGCTTGGCGTATCCAGCGTGGTGTGTCATAAGGCGCTTCTCAATCTTGTTCGCGCGTTCTGCAGCGTCGATGATTGCTTCTTGCGCCTTGTCAAAAGCTTCGACCATGAGCTGGTGCTCGTCAATCTCATCTTCTTCGTAGCCTGCAATACCAGGGAGGATGGCGGAACCATGTAGCGTCATCCACGCAGTATTGACGTCAGAGTGGAACGTTTTCTTTTCCTTTTCTGTTGTCATGGCAAACTCGAGAGCAAGCTCCATCTTTGCATTTCGGAGCGCCTTGTCTGACATGGACTCAATCCTTTGTACGGTACCGGTGACGCGGCCGTTGCCAAACTTCTTAACGTCGTTTGCGATGAGTTTGGCCATCTCGACTTCGACTTCGCGCTCTACAGGATCAGACAGATCGAGTGCACGCTTCATCATGGCATCGATGTCGATCAACGATGGCCTTGGAAGAAACTTCTGAACAACTTGGGTTTGTCGACCGAAGTCTGCAGCCTCTTGTGCTTCGCGAGCTTCACGAGCTTTCCGGTCACGTTCAGCTGCGTCCTCCTCGCTAATCTCGACTTCCATCGGTTCCGCTTGCTCTTCGGGTAACTCAAACTCCCAGCTCTCCTCCTTGGGCTTTGGCAACGCAGCAAGCTTGCTCTTCAAGTCTTGGCGCTTCACCTGTTCTCTCAATCTTATATCCCGAGGCGTATGAGAAACTAGTTGCATGCCGTCTTCCTCCCCGTTCAAGCGCAGCGTGTCTCGTGGTGTTCGCATCGGTGTCGCTCCTGGTCCCTGTCGCATTGGTGTCGCGCCTACTCCACCATTGGCTTGCCTAAAGGGGGTTGCCATCGGGTTCGGGGTTACAATTTGATGCCGTGAAGCGGACCCGGATAATGAAACGGGCGCCTGGTCCTCTACAAGATCTGGGTTATCTCCACCGAGCAGAGCAGACTGTGTCTCTGTCCTCATCCGAGCGTTTCGAATTTCATTTGCGACATAGTCCTCTTCCTTGGGTGCCATTGGGGTTCGAATCGGTGTGTTGCCAACCACATTCGAGTAATCTCCAATCAGACCTTGGGTTGCCATATTGTCGCTGCTACCTGCACTAATTGCGCGTTGACCGGTTGCTCCCATCTTGACAATGTCCTCAAGCTCAGCTTCTCCAACCTGTGGAGATGGTAGCACAAGCGCACGTCGTTTGCTGCTCTGTTCTGCCTCCCGTATCCTCTGCATCTGTGCGGCCTTTGCATATGATGCTGCGAGACCTCCCGCCTTCTCATCCTTTTTCTTCTTTCGGTCACCCCCACCGTCTTCCTGAGCTTCCATCTTCCTCTTGTTGGCAAGTTGTTGTTTTCGTGGGTCAAAGGCTTCTCGTTGTCGCTCGTTGCGGTCGATTTCTTCAGTGGTGTCGAAGAAGCCTGCAGGGACTTCTTTTTCGAGCGGAACGTCGGCATTGTAGTCGATGTGGTTGCCTTTCTTTGGGGTAATCTTGATGTTGATACCAGCCGCCTTCAGCTCCCGTCTCTTCTGTAGTAAGGCAAGCCTTCTTGATTCCTCCAGTTGCCTTTCGCGAGCCTTTCTCTTGGCCTTCTTACCACTGACGTTTGATAAACGCGCACGCGCCTCTCTGTGCACAACAGGTCAGTTGTGGTTATGTGTGGATTTTGGGGAATACATACGAAAGCATCTCCTTGTCTTCGTCTTCTAGATCCACCGCATCTGGTCTAGCAGGACGACTTTCAGCGTAGGCATCAACCTCGCCGGGACGCAGGCGTCTAACATCCTCCGCTGAGGGAGCCGCCTCTCCGCCTTCTGGACCCGCGAGTCCTAAATCGCTAGACTCACGAGCTTCTTGTTCGTCCAAAAGCTTCTGGTATCTTTCCAGACATTGTGTCGCTGTCCGTCCGACGATGGGCGCAATCGTGCGCCATTGGGTGGGAAGGAGTTTCGCCATGGTCAGGAGCTTCTCGTCGGATTCGCGATCCCATTCGGTTTTGCGAATCGACGGATCCAGCCATTCTTGCCATCTTGACTATTTGGTGTCAGTATTCTAGCGATAGCTAAGGTCTATGATGAAAGCGCGTACCTTGCATTGCTTCGCGCTCTTCTTTGCTAGCAGAGATGCGCATCGTGACCACTGGTTCAGTCCATATTTACTGATGGCAGCCTTCAGCACTTCGTCCTCGACGTTCGACCAAGAAGATGTGACGACCATTTTGGATGGTTTCGCGGGAAGTTGGTGGAATGGCGCGTGCAGTGCAATGCGACCGCGAGGAACTCAAAGTTCAAAGGGCTGCAGAGACTAGCGTCTTGGCAAAATCAGGCATCTGCATTGGGTCAGCAACAATTCACTTGAATAGCTGAGTTCAGAATTTGTGGTTAGTATAATATCAGTAATAAAAACTGGCGATTCGTAAAGGAAGGGATTTGGCTACATGCGTCATTTTACTCGCGTGGGCTTTCGCCATGATTATCCGTGTTCGCGTTGCGGACATGGTCACAGTGACGTAAAACCATCATCGCAGTCTTTATGCTGCTGCAGTTGCTTCAATGTACAGCAACCCATCTCCTAAAATGATGCACTTACGCCAGATTCCTCGCCTTACTCATATTTATTCTATCACACGATACTCATATCTACCTGCACGGCCTGTATTCGCCTCATTCAGGGATTACTCAGACTCAAGCTCCAATAGCACGAACACGAACTCAGTCAGTGGCGATTCTCAAAAGTCAGGTGATAAGACTTCGGAAGCGCCAAAGCCCAAAAGGAAGACGCAAGCGGAGCTTGATGCGGAACTTATGGAAAAACTGCAAGGGCTTGACAGCGAGGGAGGAGCAGCCGGTGTTGAGTATGAAGATGGAAAGCCTGCTTCTATGAAGAGAAGTGTGCGAAACAACATGTTCAGATACATATGATGCACATAATTATGCCACTTTGGTGTCATCCCATGAGAGTTTTCTTTGGTGAGGTTGAATGATACATATTCTTGTGGCATGACTTACCTTCCAATTTACTAACTTCAATAGTCCTACCTACCGCCTGATAACGCTATTGTACTTCTGGCCTTCTCCCCGTTGACGAATACACCACAAAGTACCTGGCTATATCTTGATAGTCACCAAATATATACCTGATGTACAATAAAATAAATCATCCTTTTTGTTAGACTATAACATAGCTCAAGTATTTCTACCTGTATTAACGTAGCTAATTGCTGGTATTCCATTTGTTGTTCAAAGAAGTCCATCCTGGGACGATCCACAACCTGTGCATGAATTTCTGGGCCCGTATAAAGTTTTCGGGTGTCATTTAATGTGATTTCTGAAGTGAATAACTTTGCTCGTCCCCTACTGATATGGCATGGGTGCATATAGGTATATCCCACGTGAACACGCGATGACTAGGCTAACCCAATGTGTACTAGAAACTATATGTACTTGAGCTTTATGCTCCGCTTGGCTTAAAGCTGACGATGTGCTATTGCCAACAGTTTTTTGCTTCCAAGCCGAGCGACAAGGTACTCCGGAACTACACAGTTTAAATGGACAGTGATAGCAGACCCAAAAAGAAGCGAAGAGGCGGAACGCGGAGCAAAACAGGTACATATCATCCTTATCGATAACGAATTCAAGGAAACTAATGACATCAAGGCTGGTTTGTTCACTACGCCGACAACTCGGCGTTCACTCTGCTGACTCTGCTTTTTCAGCACAACATGTAAGCGTCGTCACACAAGATGTGATGAGAAAAAACCTATCTGTGGAAATTGTGAACGTCTGCAACTCGAATGTGAGCAGCCAGGGGACATCTGTATTACTCCACAGGCCAATTCATCTGTAGATGAGGTGAATAAAGATGCGCCCTCGCTTGTTGATGTCTTCAAGCTACGGATGAACGATTTAGAACTCCCTGAGGACCCAACGCCAACTCAAAGTTATATTCCGGTAAACAGCCTATCGCCAACGAGATCAGCAGGGCCAACTAGTCCAAAGCCAAAGATACGGTTGACCTCAGAAAGCGCTTTCCTCCTGCAGACGTACGTACGCACCGTTGCGACATGGATGGATATATTCGATCACGCTTCTACCTACCAGCATAAGGTGCCGCAGCTTGCTCTAGGATCACCACTATTGTTTCATTGCGTATGTGCATTCACCGCCAATCATTTGGCCCTGTCGAATTCCAGTCACGATCCGTCGTGGGGCGTTTGCGCCGTACGACACTACGGTGAGGCTCTGCGTCTACTGATTGAAGCTCTGAGTATGCCAGAACACGAGCATGCGCTGACGGCAAGTATGCTGCTGTTGAGTTATGAGATCCATGGAGCGTTACGATCAGAGGATTATCGGAGGCACTATTTAGGCCTTGTAAGCCTCGTCAAGTCACGACGTGTTACTGCGCAGTCGACTGGCATTGATCTTGCCAACTTTTGGATCTATGTCCGGCATGAAATCGTTGTTGCAATGGCAAGCGAACAGCCCTTGGTGTTCAACCCTGCTGAATGGGAGGTCTCTTGGGTAGAGGGTGAGACGAGAGAAGACGTACTCGGAAACCATGTTCTTTGGATATTGGCAAGAGTAATTAACCTTGTATTTGGGCCAGATGGTAATACAGAAGTTGGTAAAATACAACGGCAAGACTTCCTGCATGAGATGGAAATATGGCGAAGAGGTCTCTCTGAGACTTTTAGTGGTATCCCCCACGGGGAGAAAGACGAAGACGGTTTCTGCAAAGTGTATTTTCCGGTTGCTGCAGCTGCGGCAGCTGCATTCTGTATGTTTGAGCTTGCTACTAATAGCGGCTTGAGGAATACTGACCTCGTCAGGGTACCATATTGCGCACATACTACTTTATGCAGAGCCAGTACTGCAGGACGAGGCCTACATTCCACTGATCCAGGAACAGGCCATCAAAGTCACCGACATAGCCATATCAGAATTTCCACCATCATTGATGGTTTTTTCTACCCATGGCTTGTTCTACGGTACGTGTATGATTATTGTGATCAATATAGAAGGCCGATCCTTGTACTTGAAATTAACGAAATGGTGGTGCAGCGGCGAAACATATCCAGGGTATTTCACGGAAGGCGCGGATCTGGAATGTTCTCAACGAAGTCCAAACACAGACTGGTTATGATACAAGAACGACGGTGAGGCTTCTCCAGTCACTGGTCGAACAAGACGCAGGTCGATAGAATGTAGCTGTCACTTAGAATCTCAGGTACAGTTAAACGAGCCACAGTAGCAATGATTAATCACAGGCGTCAGCCTGGCGTTGAAAGTCACCATGAAAATGTACACGGACGTCATGGGTAACGTGTTAGAAATCTACCATGAATCTTCCATAACTACAGATCAAATATACATATATCCGTCACATATCTTACAAAACCATGCCTAATCAGCCCGGGTCAGAACAATGCATATACTTGCAATTTGACGTGCAATACGCTGTGTTTTGTGGCGCGCATCCCGAGATGCAGCCGTTGTATCCGCTGTCGCACATGTCATCTCTGGCCTTTAGGTCATATACGTTAGTGATGAGTCCTGACAAAACGGAGGTGAGATGTAAAGAAGGAGAAAGGGGGAGAAAGGAAAAACAGACTTTTAGACCCTGTACAGTGTCTTGGTACGATGGTGCTGCCAGCGCGATAGTGGCGAGGGTGAGGGAGATGAGTACTGTGAGACATATTTTTCTCTTTTTCTTTTTGATATCGAGTGAGATGCTGCTTGAGAGTGAGGCTGTACTTGAGATGAGAGCAAAGAGGTTGTTGATAGGTAGATATGTAAGTGACTGGTAAGTATCAATATATTCCGATGCTTAAGTTTTTTGCATTCATAAATAGAACGTCTTGATGGCTGTTGATCGTATTTTAGGAGTAGAGCGGGGTATGGTGTACTTATATAATACTTTAGTGCTGACGGGGTGGTAGGTACGGGTTCAAAACTATACTTGTGCCGGTAGTTGATAGGCGTGTGTTGCGTAATGTTTTTTATATACAGTTTTGCGCGACTGGGTTGCTTGTCCGGGTAGTGTCGCGACGAAATAACTGTCTTGCTACATGTAATCAAGGCTACCGGGATAAGGATGTATGCATGTGCATAACTTCCATGTGGTGGTCTGTTTATGAGAAGATAGTTTGATATCATGAAATAATGGTATGACCGAGACTAAGGAATACCATAGTTACAGGCCAAGGCACTCTTAACGGGACCGACGCGTTAGCTGTTTTGAGTTATGTGTGGATGAGATGGTAAATTAGAATACTGTTGTTCTGTATGGTAGCAAATGGGAGACTATGAAGCTGCTAACAGAGAGTCATATATTTGCATACGGTGCCGATTGGTATTGGGTTTCTACTTGGCCGATGCACGGTTTTCTGAGTCTCATTGCATATTAAATTTAAACGGAGAGTGCACTGTCCATAAGTTTGTTTAGGTGAATGCTACTGCATCCAATAGTTGAAATTCTCTAGTCGTTCACACATAGCCGGACCAAATGTAAATCAGCCCCATTTGTAGCCATCAGGTGGCCACCTTGCCGGTGTTGCAGATGAACGTAACGCCAATAGAACTGACCTCCTTGAAGCTCAGGGTGATGTCTATCAATGCTAGGAAAAGGGAAGATTTGTTTTCAAGCCGGCGACGACGCGTCCCCCTATGAGGCCTGTTGGCCATTCCAAAGGCCTGTGATTACTTTCTTGTACATCGCCCCACTCTGGAGGGCAAAAGCGTCAGAGGCATCTGGCATACTTGCGAGACTCACGCTCAATGGTACTGCCCCTATAAGTAAGATGTTGTCGTTACAATCCAACATTATTATTTTTGGTGCTTAGCATCAGCACCCCGTCCCAAAGTATTGTATAAATCCATTTCGTAGAGAGTATTTGAAAGCCCTCATCGTCGTCCTCCCTTCTCAGCCTCCTTACGTTGAATCTTGGTGACAACGCGTTGCAGCGCCGTCTTGATCTCGCCCTTCTTGAACTGCGACAAATCGTAGTAATTGGGAGAAATATCCTGTGAATAGTCAGTATGCGACGAGCAAACTTTGGAGTTATATGTACTTACCATGAGCCACTCAGGCTTGACGGAGGTGACGGTTCGAATGTAGTTCTTCGTAGTGAGCACAAATTCGTTGTAGATGACCCATTCGCTGTCCTCAGCCAGCACTGTGCTAGGATGCAGAAGAACATTTTGCTCATCCTTAACTGTAATGTAACTCTTGCCGTTGCCATCACGCTTAGCGACTTGCATGAAGAAGCCTGCGACAAGTGCACGTTGGATGTTCTCGTAGTACTTCTTGTTCTCAAATGGCGTAGACACAAGCTCCAACTCCTCACGCTCCATTATGCGCTTAAGCTGGAGACGGACGTTATCGGCTTGTTGGAGCGCTCGGTATGACAGGAAGTGGTCATGGCACCATTGCTTTGGGTTTTCCTGCGCCTCTTCGCTCTTGAACGCATGGTAGACGTTCAGCATTGTGAGGTGGTCGCCCTTAGGATGCGCGAACAAGTCCTTCATCTCGTCTGCTCGCTTGCGGTTGTTGGCTGGACGGACAAAGATTTGAGGCACAGAGAGGAGTGCAGTGAGAGACAGCATCTCGTTGGAGCAGTAGAATTCGGGAGAGGTGATGAGCATGACTGCCAACGCAGGGTCCAGAGGGAATTGAGATGCGAGACTTCCCAGCGTGGTAAGTTCGCCCTCATCGTCCAGACATGCGAGGTAGTTAAGCTCTTCCAACGCACGCATCAGAGTCTCGGGCGCAGGAGGGTCCATAAGATCAAAATGTACCAGGTCGTCAACGCCAAGCTTCTTTAGCTCCAGAACCGTGCTCGCCAAGTTTGAGCGCAGAATTTCAGGATATGTTTGCTCGATGAGCTCCTTTTTGAAGGCAGACTCGGTGTACAACCGGAAGCATTTACCAGGGCGTGTACGTCCGGCACGTCCGGCACGTTGTTGTGCAGATGCCTTAGAGATAGGCGATACCAACAGCGACTCGACACGGATACGAGGGTTGTAAACTTTTTGCTTGCTGAATCCTGGATCTACGACGTACACGATTCCATCAATAGTCAAAGATGTCTCGGCAATGTTGGTAGAAACAATGACTTTTCGTCCAGGGCGGCCACCAGGGGTTGATGGGGGAGGCGCGGGATTGAAGATCTTTTGTTGTTGCGCCGGAGGCAGAGTTCCGTAGAGCGGGTAT